TTAGCTGGAAGCCTGCTCCTTCCACCATGGATAGTGGCCTCATGTCTTTTACCAGCATGTTTAGAATTGAGTTTGTAAGTGGTATGAATTGCTGGGGGGTGAGTGTCTTGTTCCCCATGTAGTTGTCCATCGTTGCTTGTTTTTTTTCTGCATAAGAAACACAAATAGACTGAAATAAGTACACATATAAAATAAAGCAGCACACACACTACAACACTAAATCAATATTATATTATTTGAATTAATTAACAATATACAGTGATCATTTATTTTGAGGGTTACGTTCTACAAAATAGCCTGCAACAGGAGATATTCAGAAAAAAAGTCTAATTTTTTTACTATTAAAAAGCTCTAAGTAAGAAGCTCATGAGGTTTTTACTTTGAGTCGGGAGTGTTTAAATTAGCTAGAGAAATGTGAAAAATGTTTATTTTGTGTAATACTGTTTAAGAAACATGATAAAAATGTGTTGTGAGGCGTTTTACAGCGTTAGACAGTAAAACAGCCTTTTAATAGTAAAAAAATGACTTTTTCTGAATTTCTCCTGTATTTAAAAATTGAAAGCGTACAACTATGCCGCGTTATATTCACCTGGACACAGCTCGTCTGTATATTTTTCACGGCAGAGTTGTCCTTTTTTGAATGAGGAACATAGTTATGGGTTTGTGCCGTTTTTCTCTTAACGAGAACATTCTTATAAACAGACGTGCTGAATTTGGCAAGCGCATGATTCACAACACGGAGGAGATTCACGATTGCATCTAGTCAATCAGAAGTAGAACACCGTAGACTGACGCGGCAAAAAAACATGTTTAACATCCACTATAACAAACTCAGCTAAAACAATAAGTCCAGCTTGTTTATTTTCTGTTACTTACCGGGCTGGCTCTTCCAAATGACGGCTCACATGACCGCGGTGCTCTTCCTCTGCTGCATCAGCCCCCACGTTTTCGTCTCAAATGTTCACTTAGGGACATCGTGCTTCCGTGCCATGCTAGATGGTTTTTGCATATTTTGCCTTTTCAAGGCATCTAGAGTGAAGTGCTCCCATACTCGTGAGGTTTTTGTCCGGGGTTTCTCTAAAGTTTTGTCGCTTCTATTTTTCTTCCGTATTTCCTCTTGTTCCGCCATCTCTCACAGCAAGATGAGCGTCAGTAACGTGATACGTCATGAAAACGGAGGGCACTCATTGGCTCATTTCTTCTTCTACGGCTCCACTGGTAGATCAGTGGCTCATTACTGCCACACACTGGTGGCAAATTTAACAGCTTGTAACCGATGTCAGTTTGTGTTAAAAATAGACTTTATGCGGTAAAATATGATTATTAAACAACTAATCGATGACTAAAAAAGTTGTTAACTATTTTGATAATCGATGATAATCGATTAAATCGATTAGTTGTTTCAGCTCTAAAAGCAGCAGATGAGACAGCATGTCTGATCATTTAGTTTTTCATCTGATAATATTAGAACATGTCAGTGATGTCTGAGGGGCTTGTATAAACGCTGTATAACTAACACTACTGGAGAGGGTATGAATTACACAGAGGCTTCTGGGGAGCCCAGTTATGGGGGGGGGGGGGGGGTTGGGGGGGCATTTTGCCTTGGCCCCCAAAATGTCTTGAAACGGCCCTGGCTGTGTGACTGAGTTTTGAAGGTGATCTGAATTGTATCAGATGTATAAATATGTTTTATACAGGTAAAAACGTGTAGTGGAGATAAATCTTCCTACATTTTACTTTTCAACACTTTGTTTTGTTTTCTTGTTTTTATTTAACTATTTTCCTGTCCTGTCTGTCTCTCATCTTCCTGCATCTCCTCTTAATTGTCCAGAAAATCTGTTGCCTGGATTCTTACTTTTTCACCTCATCAGTTACTTTTGAGCAGATCAAAGGGATTTCCTGACCACAAAGCTCAGAGCGCGTTTTCGATGCTGCGTGAGGTGACATCACCACAGCACAGGTGATGAGCTCCGCAGTAGCGCGCTTCAGGCACAAATAAGACAGAAAATAGAGAACATGTGCAGACATGAACGATCGTGTGCTAATTACAGTTTTTTGGTTGCGCCACTTTGAGAATGGACCGTGCGCTGGAAGCAGCTGCCTGGATCGCTGCGCAACAATGCGCTGTGCCGCTCTCTGCTCAAAAGAGTCCAAAAATGATATAAAATAGAAAACTTTTTTCCGGCTCCCCGGATGTGTAGGATATACAGCTCCCCCATAATTCGATCCCTGCTCCTGGATGAAAAGCCGGACATTTTCATCAATACAAGAACCCGCAGTCCGGACGCCCGGACAGAGTGAAAAGTGGAGATGTCCGGGGAAAACGGAACGTACGGTCACCATAGTCCTCATAAAGCGGGAAATTATAGATATGGTATTTTGCTCGTGCCCTGGGCCCTTTAGAGGTCGTGGGCCCTGGGCAATTGCCCAGTTAATCCGGCCTTGGGCGGAACCGGTTCGCAGCAGCGCAAGTCTGCCGGCTCTCCCTCGCGCTGATCTGCCGGCTCTCCCTCGCGCTGATCTGCGGCTCACCCTCGCGCTGATCTGCGGCTCACCCTCGCGCTGATCTGACTTGCGCTGGTCTGGAAGAGTTGTGCGACACAACGAATCGATAACGCAATTCGTTGCCAACGCTTTTAGTAATCGATTTTCATCGAATTTATCGATTCGTTGTTGCAGCCCTATCGAGCACTTTTAATTCCTGCAGCGTTTCCCATACATAGGCGTAGCCGTGGCGGCCCGCCACGGCTGAAATCCCAGCTCCACACCTACAAGATCCCAAGTTTTATTTTTTTTTTTTGCGTCGTTTCCCGAAGAAGCAGCGGGAACTACTCTGTTGTTGCTTGTGGTCACAGCCGGAGGGCAGCAAGGAGGAGGAGGCAGGGCAGGGTGGTTACAGCTAGGGATGAGCCGGATACTCATTTTCAGACGAGTATCCGGTACGGATAAAGCATTTTTGACGAATACGAGCATGAAACGAGTAAAACTCGTAAATATCTGTAATCGTGCTGAAGGAAAATCCTCATTGGGTAACTGACTGTCTTCACGCTCTGTGATTGGCCAGTCACATAGAGCGCCCGCCCCTCCCTACACACAAAACTGCTGCCGGGAGCTCAGTCCGTCCGGCCCATCCATGCACGCACACACACACACACACGCACACACACGCACAAACACTAGCGGATCTGTCTGTGCTTGCTTCACTGTTGCTCACGTTTCTTCAGAGCTCCCTAGGTTTTCTTCAACTCGCCTGTTTTTCGGTTGAATATTTAAAGTTACTTTTTCGTAACGTGCGTGGTGCATTTGACAAGACAGAGCTGAAAACGGCTCTTGCATGCGTCGGTCACTGCCTCCGCTCCAGTCGGGTTTTTTTTTTTTAATTATTATTTTAATTCTCTCTCACACACAAACACACCTCAATCAACATTGTTTGGTTTAACTGTGTGTGGGAAAAATGCCAACAACATTAGGAAAAAATCAGTTTAATCAAATTAAAATAAAAAAAATTCAAATTAAAATTATTTCCTAGTTCTTACTGCATGAGTTCAGATGCATTAATTCATGCACTTAAATCAGGGTAGCTGCAGATTTAAGGGAGCCAAATTCAAGACTTTTTAAGACCTTTTTTAAGGCCACTTTGACCAAATTTAAGCTATTTTAAAAATTAAATTTAAGCGATAATTTCCAGCTCTTGCCTGGAGCCGGTGCTAACCACGTCGCGAACGTGGGATTAGCCATCCAGTTACCATTAAACTTGCCCTTCCCCATGGCGCAAGCTCCCACTAGCTTAACCAGCTAATGTGCTCATCTAAAAAAAATGGCCCCCTTTCACAACCAATTGACCGCGTACGGTTCCGCTTACGGCAACATCATACACAAAAAATGCTGAACACTAGCTAGAGATTCACGAAATTTTTATAGAAATAAAAGAATCTTGTTTATTGGGTCTTTGGTCATTTAAGACCTTTGGAAACTGGATTTAAGGATTATTTGTCATTTTTAAGGACTTTTAAGGCCTTAAATTAGGAAAAGCTAATTTAAGACTTTTTAAGGACCCGCGGATACCCTGTTAAATATTCATGTTCTGATTTTACTGAAAAACTTGTTCTGTAATAGTTCCTTTACTATTGTGATCAAACATATTTAATCTCTATTCTGAGGCAATAAACAATACACATAGCAACTTCTGATCAATCCATATCCATTTCAGATTTAAAATAATGTATTGATGAAAACCACACCCACTGATTTCCAAATAATAAGGTGGATTCATCTGTGTATGTCCTTTGATCCGCATTAGTGATGTTTTCAGCACCAGAACAATGAAGCAAAGAAACAGATTCCTGAGTTTATATTAGTAATTTTATTTATTAGGTGCATCTGACCTGTTCTATTTTTCTCTGAAATGAGATCAAATCAGTGCTTCTATGGGTTGTCTCCTCTCTGCACTAGAAACATGTACTTTATTATAATGTTCACTGTAATGCATCTTGATGTTCTTAACAAATAAATTAAATCAAAGATATTGGTCAATAATGCCAAATATGTAAATTTGTGTTTCAGTCATTTTTATACTGGCTTAAAAATACTTCATTAAGTCTGCTAAGCAGGGGTGTAGAACGTGTTTAATGGGGCCAGCCCGGTAATGACCTTGGACCAAAATAAAGGGGGCAGAAAGAGATGTTTTTCCAGACGCCAAGAAAAATTAAATGCCAACCCCCCTGCAAAGTGTGTCACTGAGAGTTTAAAACAAAAATTATTCTTGTGCAAATATTGGTGTATTCACCTTTAATACTAGTTATTAAAATGCAGCAGATGCTGGACTGGTGCAGTTCAAAGTGGAGCATGAAATAAAACAATGTTAACATACATTTCTGGGGAAACACTGTCCTGTAACTAGGACCGAGGAAGCAATACGACCAAAGTATCATTCCTACCCTGAAAAAGAATACTCTGATGTACATGAGACGAAAGTCAGCGTTTAGTGGCTAAACACTAACCTTTGGGTGTGTGAATATAAGCCGTCGTTCCATCTTCTAGCTGGACAGCCTGCCCGTCTTCAAGCTGTAAACCGTCTCCTCCTACAACATGCAGTCAAACATCACTTTAATGTCACCAAACCTAGGCTCTTAACACAGAGCAAAGACACACAGTTATTAGGTGCATCTATCTAGAGACTGCAGGGATTTACATCATACCTGTCTTGGGCATAGACACATGCTGAACATATGCAGCTGAGCCATCCTCCAGCTGGATCACCTGACCATCCATGATCTGACCATCTGAAAACGAAGCTTTGGTCTCATGCTGGATATATGCAGTGGAGCCATCTGCAAGAGTGACGGCCTGCAGGCTCACTGTGTCCATATTCTCCATCTGATCCCCATCTGGGAAATAATGAACAACTTTTAATCGGTGGTGTAACATGTTGGCACCATTGGGATCAAAAATATTATTTTTAAGTAAGAAAAATGACAAAACGAAGACTAGACAGAACTTCTATTAATCATCATGGAGCACATGTGTAAAAACTTCCCCTGGACCTCAAACCTAGGCACTCACCCGCCACCGTCACGGCTTCTGCCAGACAGAGAGTAACCGGCTGCCCGTCGGCATCGTGAAACTCTGACATTCCCTGGGAGTCCCGGTTTATCTGGGCTAAGAGCATACTTCAGCTGCAGGAGTGAAAAACACATTTGGGTTGAGCAGTTGGTCACATTTGTACTTTTGTTTTCTGCTCTTAATAATCACAAAAAATGTTACTGACCCAAAACTTGTTTATTTTAAAAATCGCCATCTTACGTTCCACTTTGGAATCCTAATTTTATTTAATCTTGCTTCCTGATGGTCCACCGTACACACACACACACACACACGCACCCTTTGGTGGCACCGTGAGGAAAAAACACCGACTGTGTGATTCTTGTTCAAATATGTCTTCATTGTCTGCAGTTCTGAACCTCACACTTTCTGATACCTTTTCAGTAGTTTTGATTGTCGAAGCTCCTTCGAAAACACCTTTTGTGAGTAACTGTTTGGACCTCCAGGCAGCTTTTTACAGCAGCACTCTGTACGTGGTTTTTATACAGCCGACTGATTAATGTAGTTCATTAAGGTTCATTTAGTGCCTGCTTGCATTTTAAATAACATCTGAACATTACAAAAACATTTAGTTGAAGATAATCCTAAATTGACCCCATTTTAGCAGCAGCCTTTAAAACAGAAAACCGGTAAAGCGATGATTTCTGAGTGTTTGAGACTGCCCTAGAATAACTTGTTTAGCATTGTTGGTGTTTTTGCTTAAGAGAAGCAGCTGCAGAATCAGTCATGCATTTCTTGAAATGCTTTTTCCTTAGTAAGGTGAGGGGGCTGGTGCAAGTCCATCAGTCACCAGGAATTCATCTGCATTATGAATCTCCATTATCCCCTGGTCAGGTCTCCAGTTCATTAAGGAGACACACTCACACTTAGGGACAATTTATTCACCAATTAAACAATTACTTTATGAGATTTTAAATTTATTATTTTTCTCGACGTCTGAGAATTTCTAGATTGGATTCAACCTGAACCTTGGAAAACACGTAACCACTATCCAACATGCAACTTTATTTGCCTCAACCCATTCCACATAAGTGCTATTTACATATGTTTCAGACATACAATTAGTCGCTTTATTACCTGAAATCAGTCACATATAAAACCCTACTGAGATAGACCAAACGAGACAGCTGTCGGCTCGAATTATAACGTGTTGTTTTAACAAACTGCAAGTTATTGAGCATTTAACACAAATATGCTTGGTCTCAATGTTTATACACACACAATAAAATATATGCATACATAAATATAGATGAAAGTTGTACGTAAAGCTTCCATTATAAAGTTAAACTGCTTAGCTAGTCATCAGTCAAATTGGCTAGTTCTGGCGCTTGTTGAACGTAGCACTGTGGCTGGCTAGCTACACCGCGCTACAATTGTGACTTGCAAAATTTCCACCTTAAGGGAAATCATCAGAAAAAGTTTAAAATAATTGAAGAGTAACACTATAACTGGGCTGCCAATGCTGCGCCTTTATCCAAATAGTCTAACACTTCAGTGCTACAACGGTGTGAGCTAGTTAGCCACTATGCTAACAGCACAGCTAACACCGCAAACGGAACTGTCACGACTTTTTAAGCGACCAAGATGATTTCTTCTTAAAGACCGAGTCTGACTACGATAATAGATTCAGTTATTTTCAGCTGCCGTGAAAGCATCAGAAAAGCCTGCACAATGACAGGTGCAACAAAGCTAGCTCTTTACGATGAGCAACTAGCCAACTTCGACAAACTAGCAGCCGACTAAGAAAACAAGGAGGAATCCATGAGCTAATTAATGATATCGTACGCATTTTCAGTCGGCACATTTCAGTTTTATTTTTTTCCCATTTAGCAGCATTTTCACTTCTCCAGATGGATCCCTGTCGCTGCCTGTCACTCCCACTTACAGCAGAGATGGCTGTGGGAATAATGCATACTGGGTAAAAACCAATTTATATACTAACCTCCGAAAAATTTCCAACAATTCCTCCTGTTCGACCACCATGCAACAGTGCAGGAAACGAGAAGGAACGTCCACGCCCCGAAAACATGAATGACGACCAATTCTTACGGCTGTTGTCCCGCCTACTCCGCATAAATAAAAATGATTGGTTTGCTGTTAGTTAAATGTAAACCTATTGGCTAAATGCGCTGTCCGTTGTGTTGTAGTCCTCATCTGAAGCAACTATTCAGCTTCCGTGGCCACTGAAGGACGCCATTCTGCGCCGGTTTTCGCATTGTTTCTGGCTTTCGATTGTTTTTGCAGTCCGTCTGCTTGTAAATTTAATACTTCATCTATTGGCTGGTCGTGGCCTTACTTGAAACAGTAGGTGCCAAACCACCGTGTGCCACGATATGCGGTTACGTTGTTTTTTGAGCAGAACAAACAGCGATGTGTGGGGAGGTTTTTGGGCATCCATGTTGAAAACAAGGTCGCGTGGGAAAAAAAGGGGACTGTGGGCAATGCAGTGCAAACCAGCTCGGTGCTGCTTCACACAGGCGTCCGACAACAGGGCAGCACTACAGTGAGCCTTTTAGACTATGTTGAAACTCATATATACTACCAAATATCGTTTATATATATATATATATATATATATATATATATATATATATATATATATATATATATATATGTATACATAGTTTGAAGGAAGGATAAGGATCTATTGAGAACAGAACGATCACATTGATTGCATGACGTTTTTCCAGGTTTGTACGTTTCAAAGGTGATTAAATATATTATTTTTGACAAAACGTTTAATTTATTGGTTGCAGTGAAGAGCCTTTCAAGCAATATGACAAAAAGTATCGAGAACATCTCCTGTCCCACCTTTACACTAAAAACCAAAATGGATAACTAAGTTCACAAGTTTTGTGACTCCTGAATGATCCAAAGAAAAAGTCTTAATATTTTCTTGACAGAATTAATATGAGACTGTGTCCTAATCTGTCAAATAACATAAGTCAACTGAACTTCAAGCATTTCAAATGACCCATATGACAGCTGCTAACATTAGCCCTGCCCTATTTTACCTCTACATTTGTTCTTTTATCTGTGTCCATATTAGTGTTTCTCTCTGACCTTCATGCTTATTTAGAGCAGCTTATTTTTTCAGTTAGCTGAGTTCACCCGTGATTATTTTGCACTGAACCGCAGTCCAGCATAGCTGAGAGATGCTCAGGGAGCCAGTTTTTTTGATGTGTGGAAGTGGGTTCCCTCACTCATCTACCCATTCCACACTGACATCAGTTTGTTCATTCTGATATTCCAAGATTATCCTCTGATCATCCAACTGCAATCAGTGTGTCTATCCCTCCCCATTCCCCGTAAAGTCCATCCGTCAGAAATCATTTTGGATGCTCGAGTGTTCGTAGAACTAACCGCGTCTCCTTACCACACAGCGCGAGACTCTGCAAACTGCGAAGGTTGGTGTCCAAACATGAACTTAAATGAATGTAGATTCATAAAACACACTTTTCACATGTTTTAAAAGGCTTGTATCATGCAATTTAACACCTCCCAGACCAAACATAGGCACAATATAAAACAAAATATTACTGTTGATACAATTGATGTGTCATTTAGAAGCATTTCTCAAATTCACAATAATTTCCCTCTCTGGATTTGATTTTCCTAATAAAGTCTATAAAAGCCTCTGGTTTGTCTCCATCTGGAATTGTGGAGCCAAGAGAGCTTCAACTATCCACTTTTGGCTGTCAGTCAACTTCAGGGTTCATTTCAAGATCCTGGTTCTGGTCTATAGGGCCTTACATGGACAAGCACCATCTTACATTGGTGATCTTCTCAGTCCCTACACCCCCAGCAGGTCCCTGAGGTCCAGTGATCAAAACCTACTGGTTGTGCGGCACCGGGCTAAAGGTCAAAGGTGACAGGTCATCTGCTGCTGTGGCCCCCAGACTCTGGACCTCTCTCCCCCTGAGCCTGAGATCAGTGGACTCAGTGGTCTCCTTTAAGAAGCAGCTGAAGATTCACTTGTTCAAGCTGGCTTTTGTATGACCTTCTTCACCACTCTCTCTTTATTCTGCTCTCCCCACCTATTCCACCTTCCTCAGGATCCACTGATTTCCCTCTTTCCTGTTCTCTCTGTCTCTTAATCACAATTGTCTATTTTTTGCAAATTTTAAATATATTTTTAATTATTTTTTATTTCTTCAGTAAAAGTTTATAAAATACCGTTTTCTCTGGAGTTGTTTGAAGATGGCTGGTTCAGACTAGCTGTTAGCTCATCAATCATGTTAAACGCAAACTATTTTTTCACACTGAGGTTGTTGAGGAAGTCAGGTATGACCTTTATTTCAGTCAAACATGGTGGATTTAGTTTGAACAGGAAGTGTTGTGCCCAGTAGGAGGTTCCAACCTGACCGTCTCAGATCAGTGCTTCCCCTAACAGCAGCTTCCTGTGACTAAAATGAGACGACTGACCATCAGAAACATTCTTAGAAGATCTACCTTCAAACATCAACCACCTACAGGGTCACTCAGCCAACAACACCACTATTTCTGTGATTCTATCTGTATGGCTGCGTGTTTGTATGCTAGAGTAAACAAACGAGGAGATTCTTTAAAAATACTTTATTATGAAACACGGATGAGGCATAGTGCAGGTAGTACTATGTATAATACGCACATGACATAATTATAGGTTTTCAATGTGAAGCAAATAAAACAAAACTGGGTGCAAAAGTATGTGCAATAAAAACAAAGAGGCAGCTTTAGCATTGGTCAGATTTGATTTTAGATCTGAGAAGGGACCAGTCAGGGGTCAGAGGTTAAAGGTGAGCTGGAAGCTCTCTCCAGCTTTAACTCTAACCAGATGAGTCTGCTGCTGAGACTCCGGTAGACTAGCAGTGACGGCATACGTCCCAGGAGACACCTCAATGTAAAAATCTTCCTTTGCTGAGGAAACGTGGCCCTGAGGACAGGAAGGTTCATGTAACACTGCTGAACTGTCTCACACTCTCTCTCTCTCTCTCTCTCTCTATCTCACACACGCACGCACACACACACACACACACACACACACACACACACACACACACACACACACACACACACACACACACACACACACACACACACACACACATCTTAAGACGAGCATTATTAATGAATCTGATTTAATCTTTCAAGTTGAAACTAATATAATGTTTTCATTGCCACAGGGGCCCTCAGTAAATGGCTCTTTTTCTTTTTTGGATTAAGTCTAGAGTATTTTTTTTTGTGTGCGTTTTGACCAAAGCCCCCACAATGCGGCTGAAAATTTGGTCCCAACCCGGAAGTACCAGAAATTGCAGTTCCACCCTCATCCACTAGGGGCTGGTGCCAGAAGTGAGCAAATCCTCATTGACTCCCATGTTAAAAATACCAATTTCACAGCAGAAATAAACATGTTTACAGCCTGGTACCAAAACATGTTTTTGGTTTAAATGATCTAGTTTACACTCATGACAACTCTGAGGGGGGTGAATTTTTTTCTCACTCTTCTGTTTAAGTGTATTAAAAGCCTAAAATTATGTATAATTAATGAGCATCAGACCCACGTGACCACAGAGCTAGCTCCGTGGAAAGGCCTCAGTAGAGCCTCGGTCTGGCCTGGAAACTGTTCCGGGATTTTGAGTCTCTGTGTGTGTGTATTCTGTTTTGGATATTATTTGTGCAATTGTTGGACAAAATGACTTGTTGTGGCATTAATTGCACTAATAGAGCGTCCAAGGAGTCTCCACTTCATTTTTTTCGGTAAGTAAAATTATATTTATGTATTATGTATGTCACTGCCAAGCTGAGCTTAGATTTTAACATGTACTGTTTAACCATGAAATTTAAATGTAATAGGGTAAACCCAGTGCATTTAACATAATGCTGCACTTTAGAAAATGGGTTGAAATATAACATGTTGGTGGAGCTGGGTTCCCACTATCGGCTTGTGGAGCTCTCGCAGACCTCTGTGTTCCACCCGGTTTTACCCAGCGGTCAGCCCGGCGTATCTCTGACTCAGAAGCTCTGGTGTTGTGCACAGTTAACTCCGGTTGTAGCTAGGTTGCTACCTCCGTTAGCTTAGCTCCCACCTCCGCGTTAGCTTTGGGTTAGCTTCAGGTTAGCTTGTAGCTAGTTCGACCGGGTGTCGTCAGTTGATCCCAGCCTTACAGCCCCACCCTCAGCTCCTCCTCTCTTCCCTTTTGTGGAATTGTCTGGGCTTGACGGAACCTGTGACACGGTCAAAATGGCGGTGGTGGCTACCTCCCATTTGGCCTCAAAAACGTGATATTGCAGCATATGGAAACCCTTTGTCCAATATTTATATGTTGATGGTTTTGACGTCAAAGCTTTAAAAACATTAAAGCTGAGTACACAGTCATTCATGAAGAAGACAAACTATAATAAGTGAGTCAGTTACATGTTTCCTGGTCGGCAGTGCTGATGTCCACCCAGCTCCAGGACACATGTGGAACCTGGACACGTGGGTCTTCTCAGCATCACTGGGCTCTTTGCACCGTCCACACTCATAAAACTCCTGCACCAAAGGCAAAACCAGATTTTAGATTTCTGTGTCTTCTTCAGCATGACGAGGAAGCAGGAGGGACTGTTCTCAAGGCCAGCCTGAACAGGTGAGTTTTCAGCTGCTTCTTAAAGAGCATGTCAAGTGTGCCTCAGAGTCGTACCCCACCCACGTATCAATTTTAAAAACTGCAACATTAGTAGGCGTTGCCTGGAGGACCGAGAGGGCGGAGCCGCGGCAGTGACGAAATGATGGCTAACTAGACGATGCTAGCTCCCTTCACTCTGAGCAGTTATTAGAAGTGGAGGCCGTTTCTCCCCCTCCTTACACAGACACTCGAGAAGAAAGGGACCAAGTCTATTTGGAGGAGACAAGCGGACCTGAGCCTTATTGTTTTGAGCTTGTGAGTTGCCTGAAATTACCGGAACCGACCCAACAGAACCTGCTTTGAATGGTAAGTAGCCGTTAGCCATAGCATTGGATTAGCTGCAAGGTTTGACTCCACGGCCCTAGAGCTAGTATTCAGCATGTTTTAGAGGTTTATCTGCTTCAACACACCTGGTTTTAATCAGCAGCAAATAGCTGAGCTGCTTAACAGCTAATCTAACCTGTTAAAGCAGGAAAATCCACTGAAACGTGCTGGATATCAGCTCTCCGGTAGCCCTGGGCTCAAGTTGCAGTCTGCTGCATAAAGTTATGAAAATACCCTATGAGAAAATTATTCTGTAATGTGTTCAGCCCACTAAAACTGCCCTGATTTCATTATTTATTTACTGATACTAGCTGCTCTTGGTTGCAGGTGGTCCTCTGGTGTCTGCAGCTGGTCTCCTCTGCTGGTGTCGTCAGGATCAGGAGCTTCCAGAAGAATGTGCCTTTCAATGACTCTTTCCCCCTTATTTGTTATATTAATTAAATAAATCTCAATTTATATATTTCCTATTTTTGTTCATGTCCATAAATGCTTAAACATGCTTGAAATTAAAACGAGCTTTTAACAGTGAGGTGCTAGTTTAATTCATCACAATAGAGCTAGTTAAACATGCGACAATGTGATAATTCAATTAATGTAATTTATAAATATTCATTAAAATATCAAAACTGGAATCAAAATGAGACATTTGGCAGCACAAAAAACTTGTCAAACACATTATTTATTATAATAATTGTAGGCAGACAGGAGACAGAGCTGATGGAGGTCCTCAGTCATCGAAGGATGGCTGAAGGCTTTCCAGGAACAGGAGATGTGGTGTTGTTTCTTCTCTCTCTATTCTGCCAGATGAGCTGATAGGTTACAGGTATGTGAGGACATCCTCATGCTGTCACAACCAGATGACAGTAGTTATCAGGTGATCAGCCAGGCTAATGATGAGATGCAGAAAGAAAACAAATCATGCAGAAAGAAAACAAATCCAGGACAGTGTACTATATGTGGTGTTGCTCACCTTATGTGCTCTTATAAGTATTAACGTGTGCCTGCCTCATGGTGTAGTCCATATTTTGCTGAGTGTCCTGCAATAATGCAGGTTATTAGTTAATTTACTTTTGATAGCAAAAACAAAATATTTAATGTAAAAGTTATTTACCAGGTGAATCAGCTCACACGTCACCACCAAGTGTCACAGGGCCAGAATCAGTAGACTCCTTCATGATGTCATCACATACTTATTTAATTGTTAATATCTTAAAATTTCTGAAATGTTTTAATTTTTTTACCTTGAACAGTTCACTGAGCTTGCACTGTCACTGAGGTGGAAGCTGGAATCTACAGCAGACACCTCACATCGTCAGGGGTGTGGACGCTGCTCTGGGACTTTCTGGAAGATGAATTTCCGTCATGGTCCCTGTGTCACCAGACACACAGCAGCTGGGAGCTCTTCTGGCTGGCTATGTAAAAAACAAATAAGCAGCACATTTATAAATGTTTAAAAGAACATAAAATCACGTGTAACAATAATCTGTAAAACAAATTAAAACTAGAAGGTGATAATAAAATGTTTACATAGAGGATTATTAAAAATAATTCACCTTTGCTATGCCGGTAAGGCTTCATGTCAGCCTGGACAAGTGCATTCTTGCAGACTACTAAATCAGTCTGACAGCCAATGTCTTGGGCAGATTTAGTCTGAAAAAAAAAATAGAAGCACATTGTTGTTGGAGTTTATAAAGTCAGAATATATTCCAAATAAACTTGTCTTATATAGGCGCTTTATAACTTTCCTAGTGTGTGATGTTATTATAACGTAAAAGTCAGTCAGTATGAGGTGGAGAGCCTGAAATGCGACCTCCTGAACAGAATTCCTCACAGAACCGGGTCACGCTGTGGTGTAAAGCTGGATTTCACGCTGTAATGCTGTCAGTTAGAGCCACTGTTGCAGAATTACCGACTGAAACAAAAGCAACCCGAATTTTCTCCGAGCCTGACAGTCATGTGTACCGTTTTGTCGGCCAGGGCTTCGAGATATGTTCCGATTCGCCGCTGATTCTAACCTTACATCCCGGGACCCGTTCCACATTTGGTGAACTTTACAACTCAGCCCGAAGGCAGTGAAGGCTGATATTAGCTAAATGGAGTGAACCACGTCTCTCAAACTTTGCATTTAGGTATGGAATTGTCTTTAGAAGATGTAAAACCTTTATTTAGCTTACTCACCTCAGACTGGAGCCCGCCGTGGTGGGGGAGCAGAGTCGGTGGGCTGCATCTAAATCGCGGAAGAGCCACGGTGGGCACGGCCTCCCTCTTCAAACGGAGACGTGCAGAATCGCGGGTAAAATGCTGGTTGCAAACTACAGCACCAGGCACACTAACACTAAATAAGTATGTATAACACTAAAAGCTATGCTAAAGACTAGGATATGCTAATGCTAATGCTGAACTATGGCTAACCGTCCTACACTCGCTTGCAAATCCAACTCCCAACTCGCCACAAGGCGTGGCCGAGACTCTCGATGCTTTATAACGTTGACACAGAGCTGCTACGTAGTACTCTACTGGTTTACGTAGTATCTTACTCTTTAGCCATTGGCTAAAATTTATTCAAAAAAACTCAAATTCTATGTTTTAAGCTGAAGGTGGCGCATTACTGTGGTATTTAGGCAGAATTTTTAATTTTTAAAGAAAATGCACCAAAATGCTAAAATAAAGAATACACACATTTAAAACACTATTAGACACTCATTTATACAGTTCATCAGCAAAAAAAAAAAGTTAATTTAGACGTTACTTGCTCTTTAAAGGAGACCAAGACTAAAAATATATTTGAAATAAGCAAAAAATAGACAATTGTGAATAAAAATGTTAAGAAAGAGAGAGAGAGAGAGAACAGGAAAGAGGGAAATCAGTGGATCCTGAGGAAGGTGGAATAGGTGGGGAGAGCAGAATAAAGAGAGAGTGGTGAAGAAGGTCATACAAAAGCCAGCTTGAACAAGTGAGTCTTCAGCTGCTTTTTGAAGGAGACCACTGATCTCAGGCTCAGAGGGAGAGAGGTCCAGAGTCTCTGCACATGTGGAAGCACATGATCTGTCACCTTCGACCTTTAGCCTGGTGCTGCACAACCAGTAGGCTTTGATCACTGGACCTCAGGGACCTGCTGGGGGTGTAGGGACTAAGAAGATCACCAATGTAAGATGGTGCTTGTCCATGTAAGGCCCTATAGACCAGAACCAGGATCTTGAAATGAACCCTGAAGTTGACTGGCAGCCAGTGAAGCTGGAGGAGAAGCGGGGTGATGTGGGTGTGTTTGGAGGACTTGGTCAGAAGCCGAGCACAGGCGTTCTGAACCACCTGTAGATGGTTCAGGGAGGTTCTGCTCAGACACGTGAAAAGAGAGTTGGATATGTATAAAAACACATAATCTACTGTTGTCTTTCAACCTGCACAAAATTGGACAGTGCTAGGACCAGTCAGAGCAACAGGCAAAGTGACAAATGCATCGCAACAGAAATCCGTCAACGGGCAGTCCACCATGCAGTCAAAGAAGCAGCAAATACATAGTTTTTTTTAAACGAAGGACTGTACCTCTACCACCCAGAGCCCTGCTGCGGCTCCACTGGAGCATCACTGGGCCGACCTGCTGAGCAAAACCTTTTGCCATTGCTACAGCTGTTCTAGATGTCTAGGCTACAGAAATGGGTTCTAACACAGGACTGGGAATGATTTCACACTGAACCAGTCTAAGGATGTCCCCTTTGTTTATATAGTATGGACGCTCTAGTCAGTGGACAAACCACTACTAACCTTACAACGACGGGTTGTTTGTGCCATGAACTCGGTGATGGTTGCAAAGGCATCATCCAGCTCAGAGCGGGTTCTCTGAATGAACAAACACAAACACCTGAGCTGAAAGATAGCGCTGTCCAGGATCTCCTGGGCAGGAGGTTCTAGGATATTTGTCATTTATTACAGAACACAGGGAGATTGTACACCTTCACTGTTGGGTGAGTAATTTCATCAGAAGCAGTGGGGGTCTGGGATGCCCCAGTGCTGGTCCAGTCCACACACCGTCCGGAGGCTCGCTCCAGCACCTCCAGACCCAGTCGGCCTGAGCGCCGCAGGGAGGACTCCAGCCATGCTGGATTTGCCATGGAGACACACCTGGAGCAAAACCACAGGTGCCTGCCACCTCACCTGTGCCAAATAAAGTCACTCTGGTCAAATATTTGCGTAAGTAATGCTGTGAACATGAAGATAAACATGTAGTGGTAACTGGAAGTCAATAATTTAAAAAAATCATCCACAAGATGAACGATTTTGTAAAATCGATATGAAACAGCGCACGCGCAGTGATAACGTACGCACGTTGAGATGGACTAGTTTGTTACATTCCTGTTAGTTAGTTAGCTCCCCACCGGTAACTCACTCCGGTGAGACACCGACCAGAGGACGCCCACCTCGGTGCGAGCCGACTGCAGCGCTGACCTGCTTATCGAGTTTACCTGTTCGGGGGAGAAGGACCGCGACACTAACGCTTCCACAGATTCAATCCTTCAAAGAGAAAGTCCCATTTTAAACCACATTTACTTAAGTCCTCACATTTCCCCGTACAACTGTTTTCTTTTGAACGCGACCGGACGTCCTGCTGATTACGCCCCGCCCCTTCAGGAAGTCCAACACTTTCAAGAAGAAGAAAATATCATTTCTAAAGCGCCTCTCAAGATAAAAAATCACGAGGCACTTCACAAAAACAAAAAATATAAAAACGAATTTAGAAAATGATTAAAAATATATTTGAAATAAGCAAAAAATAGACAATTGTGAATAAAAATGTTAAGAAAGAGAGAGAGAGAACAGGAAAGAGGGAAATCAGTGGATCCTGAGGAAGGCGGAATAGGTGGGGAGAGCAGAATAAAGAGAGTAGTGAAGAAGGTCATACAAAAACCAGCTTGAACAAGTGAGTCTTCAGCTGCTTTTTAAAGGAGACCACTGAGTCCACTGATCTCAGGCTCAGGGGGAGAGAGTTCCAGAGTCTGAGGGCCACAGCAGCAGATGATCTGTCACCTTTGACCTTTAGCCTGGTGCTGCACAACCAGTAGGCTTTGATCACTGGACCTCAGGGACCTGCTGGGGGTGTAGGGACTAAGAAGATCACCAATGTAAGATGGTGCTTGTCCATGTAAGGCCCTATAGACCAGAACCAGGATCTTGAAATGAACCCTGAAGTTGACTGGCAGCCAGTGAAGCTGGAGAAGCGGGGTGATGTGGGTGTGTTTGGAGGACTTGGTCAGAAGCCGAGCACAGGCGTTCTGAACCACCTGTAGATGGTTCAGGGAGGTTCTACTCAGACACGTGAAAGGAGTTACAGTAGTCTAAGCGTGAGGAGATGAAGGAGTGGAGAACTGTCTCAAGTTCAGAGCGGGACAGATGGGACTCAGCTTAGCAACGTTCCTGAGATGGAAGAAGGAAGAGCCAACAAGAGAATCCAGAATCAAGCCACATTTCAAAATAAAAAAGCATCATTTTAAAAGTGTATTTATGTCAATGAATTTAACGCGTAAACTGAGCAGAAAAAGAAAATATATAAAAATTCAATAACAACCAGCATAGTGCGAGAAAATAACAGAAACATCAATACAATACTCAGGAAGTTTTCCATGATAACTGGGCTTTTCCTTGAATAAAATGATTTCTCTCAAATAAGCTATTGAAAATGGGGGTGAATCCGTAGGGCTGCCTAGCATGGAAAGCCACCCTATACATGTGAATGTATAGAATATATTTAGCTTTGGCTAATGACAGTCTGGTAAATATTAACATATTTTCTACAAATAGCATACATGAAAGTAAAATTATTTACCCCATTTCTTCTTGTTTGGCTCACAATTATTTAACATTGTGTTTTATATAGCAGACTGTGATTACAGCACTTAGTTAGCCTCTGAAATCTTAAATTTGCCATATTTTCACTTTTATGGAATAGTCAACACATCAGCACAGTGCCTTTGAATAATTAACCACTTAATGGATAGAATTAGACTTTCTCAGACTCATTTGTGATTTTTGCTAAAACAGAAAAATACTGCAAGACTCGCCCTGTCTGTTCTACACAGGAGCATTGGCAGGGCTGGCCAGGCTAAAATATCCTGTTAACGCCAAACTTCTGTAGCATTTTATTTTGAAAGAATTTTAAGTGTTTCTAAGCGCAGTTGACTCTATATTACTATCGCTATCTTTAAGACTAAACCAAAGGTTAGGATTTTTTTTAGCTTCATTACATTATTTTCATCTAAATGGTTTAAGGAGACAACCCGTTAAGAACTCCATAACAGTTGATTTCCTATACAAGGTTCATTTATGGGTTTACAGAATTGAATAGAAAGGTTTTTAAATCGACCAGCCACTGTTCTGATCTTCCTTTTCTCCAGTCCTTTAACATTTGGTGTTCTCACTTCTCCAGAGACATGGATTTGATTTAGTTTCAGTTATTTTCCTCCAGTCATTCTTTGTTTTCTTTTAGTCTCACATCCCGATTAAAATCCCATAAGTAGAAACTGTTTTTACCAACTACACTCAAATAATCAATTTCTCCTTTTCATTTCAAAATAACAAATGGATTTAAACAATCTGAACTCAAGCTTTCATAGTCAACATCACCCCAACAAAAGACAAGCAAACCCATTTATACAGTTTATTCTGTCCAAAAAACTATCTGACAGGAACGTTTATGCCATCAGCACACAGGCTCCCCCCACAGCCTTGATCTTCTCTTCGGCCTGTCGGCTGAAGAACTTGGCCTTGACGATTACGGGCTGCTTGGGCAGCTTGCCTTTACCCAGAACCTTGTAGTAGCCCTGTAAGGATCACAACAATCAGGAATAAATCTGGACTTCATTAGAAACTAAAACAGGAAGAAGCAGAAGCTACGATGCTAACAGTGGTCTACTTCTAGAAACAGAAAACCAAATACAGCTAGAGGAAGTTACATTAAAAAATCAGTTGTAAATTAACAAAGAGGCCGTAACAAGTGTTAAACGTGACAGTCCTCACATAACATCTGGGTAAATGTGAGGTAACGTTTATCAAAAACAAATCAGTTCTACATGGCACCATGTGGCACACAGACTAGGATTACCAGTGAAAGATGCACCATCTCCTAACAGCATGCATGCTTTAAAAGCTGAATTTAGTTGATTCATATCTGAATAATAAAAGCACTGATCTCCAACACTGATGAGTGGCAGCAGGACGTGTGCTCACAAAGTTACGAATGCAGAGTTGCATTTAAAATCAGTTTATTATGAACCTCAACAACAACCTTGTGTAACCGGGCTCATAAATCAGCTGATGCTTACAGGTCATCTGTGCTACAGCTTAATGTTTCAAATCCTTTCATTTGTCAGCATTAGACAGAGTGGTGATGTCCACACTGGTCCCTGAACACCTCCATCCTAACTCTGACCACTGGGAGAAAACCAGGACCATCACCACAACAGCACCATGACTTTTTCTGGGTGATAAATATGTCCAGAAATTATTTTGATAACCACAAAATTTACATTATGAGACAGTTTCCACCAATGCAATGACAATGGCATAAGAGTGCAAGTACACACTCTCAAAGAGCATTTAACACTTTTCCCGAGAACCATTATTCAGAATAAACAAACAAAATAACATAAGAAATAAAAACTGGATGGACAAGTCTCAACAAACAAAGCCGTTCTTCAAAAACACCAAGATTGGCTGCTTTCAGACATTTTCTGTTTGCTGCTGTTGTGCCGTTAGAGGCACAAATAAGTGAAGTGTGTGTGTGAGGAAGGGACAAAGAGGCTCATAATGATGGAAGGGGAAATTCCACACTATTTATATACAGATATATGTTTTAATTATCTAATTAACCAAACAATCAGTAACTTCACCTCTGTAGAAGAACTCCAGACTCTATTCATGCCACCATGAACAGAGTAAACAGACCAGAACTCTACTTGTGATGTGTTTGGAGCCAGTATGTTTTACCCGGGAAGGTTTTAGGACTCCTGTGTTAGAACAACTTACAGACTCCAGTAGCTGCCTATCCCATATAAACACGCAGGACCATTTAATGGGCTCCTGAGGACCTATGTGGAAGCAGCTCGAGCTAAAACACCGGTCATGTGGTTTGGACTTACAGCGCGCACAGCGTCAATGACAGGAGCAGGCCCATCAGGCTTCTTGGCATAGTTGAGCCTGGTCTGCTCGCTCACCAGCGTCCACAGCTTGTCCAGGTTGACAGTGGGACAGTAGGACGCGTTTCTCTTTAGGTGGTAATGTCTCATGCCCACCTTACCAAAGTAGCCTGGATGGCTGAAAGTGGCAGATCAGCATTGTTACTCAGAGAGAACACACACACACACACACACACACACACACACACACACACACACACACACACACACACGTCTGCTGAATGTTGTACTCCAGACGAGAGTCCACTTACTATTTATCAAAGTTGATTCTGTGGTGATGCATGCCACCGGCGTTACCACGACCTCCAGGATGCTTCCTGTGCTTGCCTGTAGAGCAGAGCAGCTACTGTTATCGACACCTCCACGTCTCTGAGTTTAAACAGGAGCCAATAACACTTCGTACTGACCGACGCGACCATGTCCGTGGCTGACGTGTCCTCGGAGTTTCCTGGTCTTGGACTTTTTAGTTGGCTGTTAAAATGAGATGTTTTAACAATTAAAGGCACGTGTTTATGATAGACACAAACACAGGTAATAATGTTATCGGAATAGCATCGTTAAGATTGACAAGCTTTGAAACAACTCCAGCAGATGCGCGCAGACATACAACCTAAACAGAACACATCAACACGCGTTTCGTTCTGAAAAACAAATCTTTAGACATTTAGCACAGGAACGTTGCTGGCTAGCATCCCAGAAGCTAATGATCACATTCACCGGCAAGTCAGTCAAGCTAACTTCTACAGTTGTAGTTATCAACGTTTAGGAACGTAAATTAAATAAAACTATTTAAACTAATTTAGTCAATGAGGGACAAGCATCAGTGTCTGAAAAATCTGATGGATGGCTGCAACGGCAAAGGCCCGGGAGTAACCGGCTAACTCAGTAAACGACACTAAAATCACCTAAATGCGACTAAATCACCACAATAACACACAGAGAGTGCAGCTGATAGGTCAGTGTACAGTAACACACGTTTTGTTCATTAATGTGAACAAGGATGAGAGCGGATTTAGTCTGGTTTCTGTACACAGAGATGTAATTCAGCACCTACCATCTTGGAGGCTAGTAGAAAGAGGAACGGGATTTGGAAACAACGCGATTTTGTGCGAGACTAGGCCACTGACATGTGCAGGGGAAAACCACAGCGCCGCCTGGTGGTAGATAGCGGACACTGGCAGCAAGTTGAACAAAATAAAATAAACACTGCATCCCTTCTGCGGTTTTTACTATGACAGCTGATTTATCCACCCCCTGTTCTGTTAACATTGTCCTGACCTTCCTTTTCTCTCTTTTCTTTTAGAACATGACTTTCACATACTGTCAATGAACATCATCAAAAAACAAATTAAATGAAATCAAAACATGGCATAAAACGTTTAGGCTGTATTATCTTTTGTATGTCACCTAGCTGTGATGTTGTTGTGTTGATCTTTTGACATCTAAATTAACATTCAATAAAATAAATTAGCTTTCATGAAATGTTTCATTTGTTACTTGTGGAAAAATCATTGCACTGTTTTAATTACTAAACAGTTTATTCAAAATGATGCCAAGCGCAGCATCCCACGAGGGTTTATCATGGACACTTGTGTTTTGTTGCTGTTGTCAACCCAGAGGTAGCTTATGTGCACATGGTTGTGCCATACTGTAGAGTCCTGTGTGAGCCTGTCAACCTGCTGTGATAGTGCATCAGAGACATAGTCAAGGAAGGTCTGTTATTCAAATTTTGAAATTACAGAGTGTATCTTCTCATTGGTCTAAGTCTCACTGTGAGAAGAGTTTAGTATCAAACCTTCTCCAGCCTCTGACGGCTGCATCAGTATCCACTGGAAATGATATCAAACATTGTCAGATTTGTAAGTAAAACCCTCTGAGTTTATTTCTCAGAAATGTTTTATGTCACAGTTCATAGGTTACACGCTTAAAGCCAAGTTACTTTTCTTAGATACTGAATTTCCTTGTTTATCTAAAATTCTGGAATTCTGACAGAGTTTAACAAACAATTTCGCCCAATAACCAAAGTCCTGTTGATATCAGAAGATAAATTTAGTTTTTTCAGCCCACTGCTTTTAAACAACAGACCGATGAGCAGATGTGGGTCAAAACCAGGGCTCAGATTCCTGTTAATATAAAGGAAGCTGTGATTCTTTATTTAATGATCATTTCTTACAGAATGTGACATTAAGTTCCTTATTGTGTTACACACATTATCTTATCATCTTAGAGTCTTCAGCTGTTGCTGCGTTAAGTCGTGACTTTAAACGTGAGGTGTGCTTCTGGCTGTGGAGAGCTCTGTCTGAGCTGACGTCTCTGTTTAAACTGAAGTAAACCACCTCTGAAGGGCTTGCTTGTTGTGATTCTTGGAGCTGTAATGTCAAGGGGGTGATTGAGCTCTCCTCCAATCAAATGCTTTCTGTCCCCCTTGGCACTGGACACATGGAGCAGAGCCATCGCTCTCCTCCTCAGCTCACATTCACCCGGGGACGTGTTCGCCAGGTTTTCTGAAGCTGACATCTTGGTTTTACGGGCTTTTTTCTTCACATTCAGGTAAAACACCATCATATTTCCACATAATTATCACTCAGATTACTGCATTTAGAAAGTTGGTGTTGTTTTTGTTGCTTTGGTGCTAATTCCTGCTTCTTTCGGAGCAAAATATTAACTGATTTGCTCCCAAATGTTCACTGTGCTGACCGTTCTGCTGTTTCTGTGGTGGGTTTTTTGTTTGTCTCAATCTAGAAGTTTTGCTGTCAAACACTAAGCAGATTTCCAAACAGCAGCTTCTTCTGTGTTTTCTCCCGTTTTTAACCCCGAGAGGCCCGATCTCCTGGTGATGGCAGACCTGACTCACAGATGCCATGGCAACTTTCCACAAAGACGAGCCATCCCGTTTCCACAGGGACTCAGGTGCAGAGCTCGTCTGGCACAGGAGGCCACGTCATCAGAGACGGGTCCAAATCTGAGTCCAGAGAACGTAAATACATTTAAAACAACGCTTTAGTTGTCAGAGAAGAGTTCCTCACAGCAGACAATCGGGAGTAGATTCATTTGTCTTAATTTAACTGAAAACTGTGCCAATGATGTTAACTTTAAGCTTCTGTTTGTAAAATAATTTCAATTCTGGATTCTGCGAGCTGCAAAAGGAGCCAAACTGGTGTTGCAATGGGAAACCCGGAGCAGCCTTTCCACCATCAGGAAAACGAGAACAGCAGCCTGGTAAAAGTGTCCAAGATTTACTGAAGAGAACCAGGTAAGACACAGACCAGACCAGGGCCACGCTCCGGGAATCTGAAGTTTACCAGAATGTTTTTAATCGTTACATAAGGACACATGGATGTTAGCAGGAAGAGCACTGTTCAAGTTTTAGTTTAGCTTTAGCTGGACTACTGGATGTTTCTGTAACTCTGTCATTTCCACCAGCTTGTACACATTAGGGTAGACATGTTGTGAGCTGTCACAGTCTAAACCTACCTGGAAAACAGGTCTTTAACATCCCACAACAGCAGACCTGAAGAATCTACCAGAGTCACCCAAGGATGAACCAGTTTCTGTCAGACAGCTTCCTCCTTAGGCAGAGGTCTAGTGTGGTCTTCTATTTCCTCAGAAATAGACTGAAACGTTTCAAATGTGATGAAACAAGATTCAGTCGATTCTAAAATGCAAACCCTTAAATGAAGGAACCAGCAGACAGTGGCGCCGCTAGAATTTTTCATAAAGGGGGCCAAAGAAGATTTGGATTGGCCCTTCTGGTAACTCTGAAGGGATGCGTTGAATGCTCCTTCATTCTTTTTCATGACAAAACAAAACAATAGGATTTCAACACACTTATCTCAAAATTGAGAAACATAAAAATGCCAGAAAAAGACATTTCAGTGATATGAAATATTATTGCAACATTTATTTATTAGAACAGTCTAGTTTGTCTGTTTCCGTCTTCACAAACATCCACGTAATCCAAGGAGATCATAAAAGTTATGGATGTTGGACATCCTCGCTGAAACAGGACGGACTGCAACCCTCAAAACAAACTATTACAAGTTCATCTTTGAACTGGGATGTCTATTCCTCAGTCATTGAACATGTGTTCACCTGGGAAACTCCTAACGTGTTCATAAACATTCAAAAGGTAAGGATCTTTAATTTAGCCGAGCTAGTTTATTAGATGTTTTCCACAGCTCTACTTTCATGTTAGTTTGGATTTCAGCTGATGGAACACTGAGTTCAACCAACAGAACTCTTTAATTGTGTCTAAAACCATAAGTTCATAATAAATATGAGGAAGAGTCTGTTTCAGTGAAACTGAGGGTCAGCTCTTCTGTTGTCCTGCCCTGAAAGAGGCTGAAACATTATAGTTTTAGGCACTAGATGGCAGCAAAGCATGTGTTTGTTTATTCAGCACATGGAAGTGGTGGAAAAAAATAGAGATGGTTGTGGGTTCAAATCCCTGTAGATCAGAAGGTTCTGATCTACTCAAACTGGACTGTCTGCTACCAGCAACCATTTCACGTACAAAACGTCTTAAATCCCTCTTTTGCATTCTGATGCTCAGTTTAAACCTCAACACCCCCTGAAACGTTTTCTCGTACCACGAGTACCCCCTTAGTCAAATGTGTTGACGATTCCCCCAAAGTAGAAAGTACAACTGATTATTAAATGAAAGTAATTTCTTTAAATCTCTTGAACGCTGAACCACGTCTCACTTCCTGTCTGGCTCAAGTGATTTCTTGAACAGTCGGCAAACATAAACTCCATATGGAAACTTTCTGGAGCTCTGCACTGGCACCACAGCTGGTGTAAATGCTCTGGTTGGACTGAATGATTTCTGAACCATGTGAAACTGGATCGTATCCATTCTGCATTCAGTGTGTTGGAGGCTTCAGGCCCTCTCTCAGTAGCAGCAACCCTGCCCTAGTTACCCTTCTTGTAGTGTTTCTTAACCCTGGTCCTCAGTATCCCCCGGTGTTTTCCTGCTGCCACACACCTGGTCTAAATGAATGAGTGATTAACAGGTTTCTGCAGCACTTGATGTTATCCTGAGAAGGCAATGCAGACATGTAAATGAGGTGGGCTGAAGAAGAGACATGGAAAACATGCAGGACAAGAGCGAGCTGGTTTATTATTAATCAGGGTAGGAATGGGCCATGTGGCCTAAAAGGGGTGGGTGGTTCGTGCATTTGTAACGTTCACTTCTGTGCGCCTCCTGATAGAGTGTATGGCGAGTGATTTCTGACACGGTTTATACACTCAGTTTAAGAGCCTTGGCCGAGTTTTAATGTCCACAGATGATAGTGACGCATCCTTTTCAGTAGTTTTCGCCCCAACTGTTGGTGTCTCCACAGGCTCCTGAGAATTTTGGATACCTAAATAAAATCCAAAAAGTTCAGCAACACTGATCTAGAATTACAGGTGCACTTTATAGCCTACACATCATAATAAGCACATAAGAACAACCATGGGTATAGAGGCAATGTCAAGGGAGGCGAGCTTTAGTAAGGATTCATACATACAGTGGTGTGAAAAACTCTTTGCCCCCTTCCTGATTTCTTATTATTTTGCATATTTGTCACACAAAATGTTTCTGATCATCAAACACATTTAACCGTTAGTCAAAGATAACACAAGTAAACACAAAATGCAGTTTTGAAATGATGGTTTTTATTATTTAGGGAGAGAACAAAATCCAAACCTAGCCCTGTCCAAAATCCAAGCCCTGTGTGATAAAGTAATTGCCCCCTTGTTAAAAAATAACCCAACTCTGGTGTTTCACACCTGAGTTTAATTACTGCCACACCTGTTTCAATCAAGAAGTCACTTAAATATGAGCTGCCTGACACAAGAGAAGTAGACCAAAAGCACCTCAGAAGCTAGACATCATGCCAAGATCCAAAGAAATTCAAGAACAAATGAGAACAAAAGTAATTGAGATCTATCGGTCTGGTAAAGGTTATAAAGCCATTTCTAAAGCTTTGGGACTCCAGCGAACCACGGTGAGAGCCATTATCCACAAATGGCAACAACATGGAAAAGCGGTGAACCTTCCCAGGAGTGGGCGGCCGACCAAAATTACCCCAAGAGCGCAGAGACAACTCATCCGAGAGGTCACAAAAGACCCCAGGACAACTTCTAAAGAGCTACAGGCCTCACTTGCCTCAATTAAGGTCAAAGTTCACAACTCCACCTTAAGAAAGGGACTGGGCAAAAAAGGCCTGCATGGCAGATTTCCAACACGCAAACCACAGTTAAGCAAAAAGAACATAGAGGGTCGTCTCAGTTTTGCTAAGAAACATCTCAATGATTGCCAAGACTTTTGGGAAAAGACCTTGTGGACTGATGAGACAAAAGTTGAACTTTTTGGAAGGCAAATGTCCCGTTACATCTGGCGTAGAAGTAACACAGCATTTCAGACAAAGAACATCATACCAACAGTAAAATATGGTGGTGGTAGTGTGATGGTCTGGGGTTGTTTTGCTGCTTCAGGAACTGGAAGGCTTGCTGTGATGAATGGAACCATGAATTCTACTGTCTACCAAAACATCCTGAAGGAGAACGTCCGGCCATCTGTTCGTCAACTAAAGCTGAAGCCATCTTGGGTGCTGCAGCAGGACAATGACCCAAAACACACCAGCAAACCCACCTCTGAATGGCTGAAGAACAACAAAATGAAGACTTTGGAGTGGCCTAGTCAAAGTCCTGACCTGAGTCCTGTTGAGATGCTATGGCATGACCTTAAAAAGGCGGTTCATGCTAGAAAACCCTCAAATAATGCTGAATTACAACAATTCTGCAAAGATGAGTCGGCCAAAACTCCTCCAGAGCGCTGTAAAAGACTTGTAGCAAGTTATCGCAAACGCTTGATTGCAGTTATTGCTGCTAAGGGAGGCCCAACCAGTTGTTAGGTTCAGGGGCAATTACTTTTTCACACAGGGCAATGTAGGTTTGGATTTTGTTCTCTCCCTAAATAATAAAAACCATCATTTCAAAACTGCATTTTGTGTTTACTTGTGTTATCTTTGACTAATGGTTAAATGTGTTTGATGATCAGAAACATTTTGTGTGACAAACATGCAAAAGAATAAGAAATCAGGAAGGGGCAAATAGTTTTTCACCCCACTGTATTTTGTTTTTATTAAGCTTCATCGCCACTACCAGGCCTTGGTTTTCATGCGTTAGCTATGTCGCCGCTACGTCACAGCTACGTCGCAACTACGTCGCCGCTATGTCGCCACTATGTTGCCACTATGTTGCAGCGACATTGCCGCTATGTCACAGCTATGTCGCTGCTATGTTGCAGCTCCATCGCCACTCCATCGACGCTATGTTGACGCTACGCCGCCGCTATGTTGCAGCTACGCCACCGCTATGTCGCCGCTACGTCACAGCTACGTCGCAACTACGTCGCCGCTATGTCGCCACTATGTCGCAGCGACATTGCCGCTATGTCACAGCTACGTCGCTGCTATGTTGCAGCTCCATCGCCACTCCATCGCCGCTATGTTGCCGCTACGCCGCCGCTATGTTGCAGCTACACCACCGCTATGTCGCAGCTACGTCGCCGCTATGCTGCAGCTACATTGCCACTCCATCGCCGCTATTGCAGCTACGCCACCGCTATGTCGCAGCTACGTCACCACTATGTTGCAGCGACGTCGCCACTATGTCGCAGCTACATCGCCGCTATGTTGCAGTTATGTTGCAGCTACATCGCCGCTCGTTTGCTGCTCCGTTGCAGCTACGTTGCAGCTACGTGGCCTCTATGTTGCAGCTATGTCGCCGTTACGTCGCCGCTATGTTGCAGCTACATCGCCGCTACGTTGCTGCTACGTCACCGCTTTGCCGCAGCTACATCGCAGCTACGTCGCCGCTATGTTGCTGCTACATCGCCGCTATGTTGCAGCTACATCGCCGCTCCGCCGCCGCCACATTGCAGCTACATCGCCACTACGTCACCACTATGTTGCAGCTACATTGCTGCTACGTCGCCGCTACGTTGCAGCTTTGTCGCCGCTATGTCGCCGCTATGTCGCAGCTATGTTGCAGCTACGTCGCAGCTATGTTGCAGCTACGTCGCTGTTATGTCGCAGCTACGTCGCTGCTATGGCGCAGCTACGTCTCCGCTATGTTGCAGCTATGTCGCAGCTATGTCGCTGCTATGTTGCAGCTACGTTGCCGCTATGTTGCAGCTACGTCACCGGTACATTGCTGCTACGTTGCAGCTACGTCGTTGCCATGTTGCAGCTATGTCGCAGTTACCAGGTGTTGGTTTTCGTGTGTCATTGCGGGTTGTGATTCAGCTCTATGTAAAATCCCCTTGACAGAGCAGATGTTCACACGGTGATGTCACCTTCAGCTGCGCCTTCTCCTGAGTCTGGTTAGGCTTTGTTGTGTCAGTATTCACTTGCCATATAACCCTAACTGATATGGGAGAAATCATTTGCACTGATTAAAGTCTTTATAAGAATGAAGGGCAAAATTGGCTTGTAGCCCTTTAAGAGAAATTAATTCTTAAGAAACCTTAATTCTTAAGGTTCTCAAACTTAATTACCCTAAGGAAAGCACTATAAAAAGATAGATATGTAAGTGTCAAACACTAAAAATGTAAGTCAGTGGAGTTAGTAGGCCCTAACTGCAAGGGTTAGTAACTGGACATAAACTGACTGAAGGCAGTTATCAAATTATTAACTCAAAAGTGATCAAATAAAGAGTTGATTGAATTTGGATCGACATACCAGGTAGTGGAATTATTCACTTTGAACCATTATGTTCTGAAATCACATGATTATTGAAAAACCCACAGCAGACCACAGCCAAAAATCACAAAGCCTGTACGATATGTTTAGACATGACATCATCCATGCACACACATACTCACAACAGGACTCACGTGGTCCGAAATCAGAGAACCCAGCAAGAGCGGACGGAAGTTCACCCCCATTTTGGCACAATTCGAGTTGGTAGTTGGATAAATTGGTTAAAACAATATCTAAATCAATGGGATTATTGTGTGGTTTAAATTTGGTCTTGTGGACCCATAGATAAATGGGAACTTTGTTACCTTTGGAGATCTTAATGAGAAACACGACCGGAGAGTTGTTTAGTTGTTGGACCTGACCTTTCCTGCAAAAGTTTATTGACCAGTTTACCAGAGGTGACTATTGTGTGACCAGGATTTGGAGCGAACTTCAGGTCAGGATGAGAAGCCCTCAGATCATGAGGAGTCATACTGCCCCCTGCTGGTTTCTTAAGACCTGTCTGTTGAACAGAGCAGAAAGAATTCCTCCCGGAATTTCCGGAGGAAGAAAATTAAGGTGATACAACTCACGTTTTACAAAAATGTTTATAATAAAACACAGAAATAGCGTGTTTTGATCTGAAAAAGAAGGGCTGGCTCAACCAATTATGTAGCGTGTTTAACTACATACTAGAATTAACGCTGTTTGCTATCAGCTTTATTAGATTCTGAGAAAAGCTCAAACAAGTTGACAACGAAGCTTCTATCATATAAAAATATAGGGTATTATATATTCGATAGAAGTTCATTTGCCAACGAGCTTGGTCTATTTTTAATCCAAAGATTAATTCTTAATTTAAGATAATTAAATTTAATAGCAAAAGTTTATTTATTTAATCAGAAGTTTAAGGAATCTTTGCTTTTTCAATAACCAAAAATATACACCATTCTGTGTTTAATTTCAAAGAAGAGTCAGGGGTTTAAAGTTAAGAATTTATTACTAACACTTTTAAAAATGACAATTTAGAAATGACAATTTTTGAACAGACAATTTGATATTAAAACTTGTTTTAAAAAGCAAACCTGTGACTGAATGGAAGCTAAAATGAAAATGCGAGTTTTTGGATGCGTGAATGAATCAGAAGGTTTCTTTCAGAGAGAGAAACGTTTCTGGGTGGTAAAGTTGGGTTTGCAGCTAACTGAGTCGTTTCTAAGAAAGAACAGCATCAGACATCATTTGTGTGCTACCTCACCCAGCAAGGCGACCCTCTGTGTGGATCCAGAGGTCAAGGAGGATGTTGTTAGCCTCAGGGGTACTCGGTCCGGTAGAGAAGACCTGAGTAGAACCGATCCTCTAGACCAGAGATGTTGCGGTGTCGAGCATCTGGCTTAACTCTGAAGGAGTTTTGCGTTAGCTGGTTACAGTTGCGTTCATTCGAAGCAAGCCTATCGGAGTGACAGAATGCTTAGTGAGGCTGGGGCGGCCGTCCCTCTTCTGGTATGGTTCAAGAACTGAACTTTTTGCTGCGGGATTTGGTTTTAACAAAACCCTCAGAACACGCCCTCTCAGCATCAGAAAGCTTGGTCATGAAGTAAAGACATGTGAGATGGTTTACCCTTTACCCTGGATATCCTCTGCATGAGTTGGTTAACGTGCAAGATGACCTTCTGGTTTACTGAACACACATTAGGATAATCAACAATAATTATTATCATACCCAAAGCATAATAAGTCATTTCAGTAATTAAAATACATTTATACTGAATCAAGAGATTATTTATGAAGGTTGTAATAACAGTAATTAAGTCAAGAGTTTATTAAAATTATTATTTAAAATTATTATTGTGAAACTTGAAGTGTCCTTCATCTTGGGACGGAACAGCAGCAGATAAAGATGGTTTCAGCAGACATCACAGCTCCTGGTGGGTAATCTGTGGGGCAAAGTTACAGAACGACCCAGCTTGACCCAGCTGGGAAAACGTGACCTTTGTCACAAATTAGAGGCCATTCATGACGCTACAAAATCTATAGTCGGATCATACCAAAGACTTACAAATGGAACCCAGGGCCTCTGGAGAAAGCTACCAGTAAAAGCTACTGCCGTAAAGCAGATAGAGACCTCCCACTAGTGTTGCTACCTGAAACACAAAACTGTTTAAACTACAATTGCAAATTTGGAAACCAATTATCTTAAAACACTTTTGTCATGCCTCCTAACAATGTTCTAACACAGTATAGCTATACATATATTGTGGTGATAATGATAATAATAATAATAATAATAATAATAATAATAATAATAATAATAATAATAATAATAAAAAGAATAAAGTGGTTTTCTCGCATTTTTCTAAAACCTCAGCCAAAAACACGGCTAGGACAAAAACAACTATTGGATCATCTAGTTGTCGGACTTGCAGAACCTCCACACCTCCCTGGGTCCTCCACTTGTTACGCACTCCTATATTTAGCAACCAAACACAGGTGTGAGAGGCTTGCGGCTCAATAATGTCAGAGGAGAAACAGCTGGCTACCAGAGTCCAAAAAAGAAAAACTCTGGAAAACAAAAGACATTTGGGCCTAGAAAACGGTGTTTAGCACTCTCTCATTTCTTCTGGTACTGTAGGTTTCTGGTTCTGGTGGACACAGAAACAGTGAAGATGCTAGAGGCGCTGAAAAAAATCGATTCAAGTCTGAATCGGGATTCTTATTTATACAGATTCAGAATCGATTCACAAAGGTTCAGAATCGATTCCAAGAATTCAAATGTTTGGCATGTTACAGGTTTGAGATGCTGTTAGGAGAGTCAGTACTCCGTTCACTTTTGTGGTCCCATAAATTGAGATGATTTATGTTTGAATCTGCTGATAAGAGGGCACTTGAATGTAATTTTTTCCATACTCAGAAATTTGAGATATTCTCGTATTTATTTTCTAAGTTGATAAACGAGTACTCAGGATTACTCTTGTAACTTGTTTCTACACATACTTGAAAAGTATTTGACCGTATTACTTTCAAAGCGACTGTTAGGTAACCACAGATTTGTTGTCTTTTGGTCAAAAGATTGTTTCTGTTTACAGTTTTAGAATCACTTTATTTTACCTTGTAGATTAGCATTTTTGGAGCACGACCAGTTTAAAGTCAAATAAAAATGTCCCATAGCTTTAACTAACGTGTACAATAAAGTAGTTCATCCTGGAGCTGACACTCTTTGTTAATACTGATTGTGAATCGATTTAAATTGTGAATCAAGAATCGATTCTGAATCAAATCGGCACCCCAAGAATCGGAATCGAATCAAATCGTGAGCTGCTCTGAGATTCACATCCCTAGAAGATACCCAAGGAGAGGGGGGAGGGCTTCGTGATGGTGTCTGATTCAACACACTTGATTCACCTGTGCAGCAGCTCATCAGGCTCTGCAGAAGCCTGTTAATCACCTGCTGATTGAAATCAGGTGTGTGGTAAATGGAGTTAAAACTAAAACTTGCTTTACACCTGACCAGAATTGAATAGCCCTGGCTTAAAGTATTAGAAACTCTTTATTGTTGCTTCAAATTTGTAATTTTTAAGTAATTTTGTTGATTTTTTTGTGATCCAAACAGTTTTCCAGTGATCATAAAGGATTTGAAATAGAAATGTGATGCAACTTGCTGTAAACTCATTAAGCTTTGATTTACTATGGCAGGATTCACCCAGAGGCCCAGAGGATTCTGGGTAATTCCTCCATCGCTGTGGTGAGCCTGGAACGTCTCAACTTCCAGACTGTGTCCTTGTTATCTCTGCAGCCTGTTGTGTCATTGGTCCGACTGCCATCTCAAACACAAACCGAGCACCAACACGATCAGGATTTAAAGCATCATCAGCAGGTGCAGAGACAAAGAAAACAAATCAAAAACACTAACTTTCAGAAATTAAAACATGTGTAAGTCCCTTTTTAAAGAGTTCCACTATTCTTGTTACCTGTGTCTTGATCTTTCCCAGCAGAACGGATTCAGACCAAAAGACATTCTGGAATTAAAAGAAGTTTCACTCGATGCCGAGTCAGCAGAAGCAGCTGATTGGGATCAGACAGGAGCAACATCTTGGACTGAGCTGTATCATTCAGAAAGCGCTTCGTTTGGAGAACCAGAACAAGATTCTGGCTTTGACTGTGAATCCAATCCAGATCAGTCCTACATCCTGTTTGCTTCAGGATCAGAGGATGGGAAAAGCGATTCAGAAACATTCTATTTGGATCCGGATGCAGAACAGGCTGTGCTGTTTGAACTGGACCCAGAAGTTGAAGCAGAACAGGGTCATCTTCTGGGGCTGGAGGATGAGTCTGAGGTAGTTGAAGTGGATCACGGCGAAGATCAAAGTCTGGAGCTGGAGTGTGAAGCGAGAGCAGAACCTGAACAGAGTGAGAGTGAAGATTTTTGTGCCGTTTGTCTGAATGGAGGAGATCTTCTCTGCTGTGATCGCTGCCCAAAGGTTTACCATCTGTCCTGTCATGTCCCTCGTCTCACCAGCTTCCCTCTGTAAGTTCCAGTCACAAAGAGCAGGCTTAAACCTGTGTTCTGCAGTAGGACCATCCAGGTTTGTTTCTGAAGTGTTTTGTTTGTCTGGTAATTAAACCACAGAGGCGACTGGGTGTGCACGCTGTGTCGGTCGGACCAGGAGCCTCCACAGGCCTACGACTGTGAGAACACACACCCCGGTGGAACCGTAAAAGTGCCTTACACACTCTCCCATCAGGACCAGAGGGTGAGCTTGATGTAAAATCCCCACCTTGTCCTTATATGGCAGCTGAAAAACTATCCTGGATATGACAAGGAAATAAAACATCAGAAACTCAACAAAACAGTTCAGAACTTTACTCAGAGTGTGTGTTTGATTACTTCTTTGTTGTAAATCTTCTACAAGTGGAAAAGCGGTTTGTGTCCTCTCAAATGGAGCCACATTTGTATGTAAATTCATTTGTGGGTTGATCAGCAGAGTTGAAGAACCTGCCCAATCGAAACTCATTCTGCTATCGACTTGTTTAATGTTGTTTATCGAATCGAACAGTTCAAGCCTGAAGAAACAAGACATGCTGGCAACAAGTCCGGAATGCCCCGTTGGCTGATGATTTGTATGGTTGCGTAGAGAAAAAGCAACAATTGGGACAAAATTGGCATCTTAGTAACAATTCCTCTTGTATGATTGTGTATATGCAGTAAATGCTAATTCTGTCAGAATGAATGAGTGAATGAAAGTCCGGGCTAGACTGTGACATGGTTTGTGTCATGCACAGTGTGCAATGGATCACATACAAACCAACAGTTTCAGAACAGTAAATGCTTACTATTATCATCCATCTGCAACCAACTTCTCTCTATACCAGGGTAAGCAATTCTGGCCCTCAAGGGCTACCATCCAGCATGTTTTAGTTGTTTCCCTGCTCCACCACACCTGATCTCAATCATAGATGATTAACAGGCTTCTACAGAGCTTGATATTCTGGTGAACAGGGATTCAACCATTGAATTAGGTGTGTTAGAGCAGGGAAACAACTAAAATTTGCTGGATAGCAACACTAGAGGATGATAGCTTAACCCTGCCCTATACATATGGAACAATTTACCTCAATACGTTTTTGTCTTAGGGATTTGTTTAACACCAACAAGCCAAACTAAAGTAGTAAAGAGGCCATTTTTAAAACACAAGGAGTAGAACGTAGATAGTTGCATGAAAGGAGCAGGAGTAAAACAATGGCTAATAGATAATTACTCCAGTGAAGTCTGGATACCCAAAATGTCAACGTTTTTTAAACTGGACACCTTTGGCATGAACATCATCAGACAACAACCAATAGTCTACACTCCAATGCGCTGGGGCTCCATTTACCAAGACAATAATCACGTTTTCCAACAAAAGGAGATAACAGAAGTCATCAACTGAACACTAATTTCCTTACTGCACTTTCTAAATGTTAGTGTAACAAATACTCTCTTTACTCTGGTAAAGAAAGGATGAAAAGCTGTGGAGGTGAAGTTAAAAATGACTTTGTTCTTTTCTGTCTGCAGAGGTGTGAGAAGTTGTCCCTGTTGTTGTACTGTCACACACTCAGCGCTCCTTTCCACGAACCCGTCAGCCCACTGGTCAGTCCAACAGAACCATGAGGAACTATCTGCTCGGCCACTTATTACATATAAAACCTTCAACTCTTAGCCTGGTAATCCAGACTAAATAAATATATTATTTAGCAGAGATGGGAAATTGTGGCATCAACAAGTCATCTCCATGTCGTGTATTTGTTCTGCTCAGCAACAAAACCAGGTCATTTCAATCAGCACAGTGAATGAACCTGGTTTTGTTACTGAGCAGAACAAAAACATCCCATGGAGATGACATCTCTGTAATTTAGGTTGGCAACGCTCCACTGACAGTTCTTGACGTGGGGCGGCTTCTACCGTTGTCTTTCAAATGATCTCTGCATGCTACTGGACAATAACCAACGTGATGTACTCACCATAACAGATGTTGGTAAACGAGGCAGTCTGCTGCTGAAGAAGGCAAAAAATACATCCTTTTTGTAAATGAAGGACTTAAATACATCTATCTGCTCCTGATTCTAATTAAGCCCATGTCCAAATCATCCAAAACTGATATAAAAATTTGGTGCAAACGAGCTGTCTCCATCATGTTCCACTCCGTCGCATCATCCCGCCCACCAGACAAATACAGGGCGCTGATTGCCCCACAAAGCCGATAGAACGCTGCGATTGGTCCACAATGGACCAATCACAGCGTTCTATTAGTTTGAAACCCCATACAGAGCTGTGATTGGCCAGCCAGAATGCTGCTAGGGGCTGCGGCGGTACCAATGGAGCGACCCTAGGTCAAACTTTTCACAGCAAGAATTTGGTCTAGTTCCCTAGGCTATTCAACTGATTATTATACAGCTCTACAGCGCTATCCGGCCCCTGATGCAGAAATGCCACAGCTAAGCATTTACCCCATTAGTGTATGACACCTGCTGTGTGAACCTGTTAAAATCTGTCAGAAGACTTGAGAGCTTTATAAATGATCTGAAACTCTGCAGGGCAGAAACGGCCAAATATGATCACAGTGCTTGTTTTAAAACCACATTACTCACTTTTCTGAATTGCTTGTAAAATGTTCTGCTTCATATTTATTATCAAACGTGGTGTGAACATTACTTCATATCTTTGACACTGTTCCTCCAGGCCCGGAACTACTACCAGATCATCAAGAAGCCCATTGATCTATCAGTCATCCGACGGAAACTAGACAGGAGCAACACTCTCCATTACTTCTCATCAGAGCAGTTTGTTGACGATGTCCTGCTGATGTTTAAAAACTGTGCCAAGTTTAATTATGTAAGGGGGTTGTCCTTTCCACTGTTGCTACATGCTTGCTTAGAATGGGAATTGCTGTATAATCACTGACACAAGTCAGTGACTTGATGGAATCTGCTGGGTTCCTTACAACTTTTTACTCATTGGAATATTGAAAGAAACTCTATTGGATCTATTTACTTTAGCTAGTTTTCCATGAGCACTGCTCAGCCTAAAACAGCGCCATACAGCCAGCAACCAGTGACTCCACCCCCTGGCAAATCAGCGGCCAGAGTCGCGATGCCAGCGTGACTAAGCCTTTCCAGGTACCTCAATAGAGCAGGGACTAAAAATTGGGGAGAAAGTAGAGAGAAAATACTGATCCGTGTCCTTGGAAACTGTGGCCGGGCCGAGCTGCACCGGCCCGAGTTACTCTGAGTACTGCCCCTGGAAAAACTACCTTTTACGAAGTGCCTTGAGACAACTCTTGTCATGATCTGGCTATAAAACAAAAGTAAAGCTGTCTGCAATTTTCATTCTACAAACCTACAGTAACCATGTGGGGCTGCAGCAGTTGGAACTAAACATCGAATACATTCTGTTTAAAAGTAAACTCTTACTGAAGTTAATGTGAGCCTGACGTTTAAATCTCTTGACTTGGGTCCTGTGAAATGGATATGTGTGTCTGTTGTAGAGAGCTTGTGGAATGACCTCAGTTTGGAGAACAGAGTTTACCTGACAGGATTGATCAGCTAACAGCTAGTCACAGTGGTTGTGTCTCCGCTATAGGAGTTCCAGGAAACTTCTGGGAGGGAGAAAAGTGACCTGGAGATACAGTATGATGGCTCTGTCATTGTGTCTCCCTGCTAAATCAGCCCTTTCAAGACTTTGCTACGACGTTAGCATATCTCCTCTGCTTTGGCAGAGACAATGAGACAAACTGGACAAACCCTCTGTGACCTGCAGGTTTCTATGGGGCAGAATTGAAGCTCAGTGGGCAGGTCCGATCACCGCTATCTTGGTCGTGTCACACATCTCGACACTCCCGGACAAAACTAAAAGAAGCAAAGAGGTGGGGCTGAGAGTGGAACTCTTAGGAACTGAGTCTGCAATTCTTTCCAATTACAAGCTAACTAAGATAATCAAAGCTAACAGAGCTTTGCGGGGCATTTAGGCACGGTTGAGTGCCTCTAAAGCGAAGTATGCATCACCCAGCACCAGAGTTGCTGAGGTCTCCCTCAGCGTGCTCCACAGGCCTCAGACCGCATTGATTGGAGCCAGCCATGGTGGGGCGGTAGAGCCGGCTTCTGCCCCACTATTCTCCGACCGCTGTGGGGGAGCGTCGAGCATGGGCTTACTTACGCCGCTGCACTTCTGGAATGATGCAGTGAGAAAATAAACCATTGGGTCACATGTGAGTTTCATACATACACATATATATATATATATATATATATATATATATATATATATATATATATATATATACATACGGTACATATACATATATATATATATATATATATATATATATATATATATATATATATATATATATATATATATATATATATACGGTACATATACATATACATATACATATATATATATATATATATATATATATATATATATACATACGGTACATATACATATATATATATATATATATATATATATATATATATATATATATATATATATATACGGTACATATACATATACATATACATATATATATATATATATATATATATATATATATATGAAATAGCATCACTGCAGTACTTTTATTTTGAAAATTACTGGGGATTTTACACTGAAACAGTGTGTGCTTTCCTGTCTAGCCCGACATTAACCGTGTAAATTGATGCATCCCAGAAGCGGCTTGCGGCAAAACTATAACCTGATGCTATACGTGCTGGTGCGGCGCGGCACTGCTGGACACACCTGGACACACCTGGAAATTGCCTCATCGCTGCTGGTTTGAAACACTCCATGGACTATAATGGATTCTATTTGAAGCAGTGACGTTCCGCTGCCGTTCCGCGCTGCCGATGCTTTCATTGTGAAACAGGGGTCAGAGTGACTGATCACTTTCAAAAAGGCAAAATTGGTTTCTCAGTGAACATGTTCTTTAAGATTTGCACTGCACAAACAGAAACATAACGTTTATCCATCAGTTACCAATCGATTAATCCTTACTGTGGTTTTTCTCCCTCTGCTCTGCAGCCGGACTCGGAGGTGGCCCATGCTGGCCGGAACCTTGAGATGTTTTTCTTGAGTAAACTGAAGGAGATTTTTCCTGACCAGACGTTTCCATCAGCCACTCAGAACAGAACGGACAGAGCTCGGCTCCAGTGGTTCAGGAGGAAGAGAAGAAATGTCTTTAGTGGGAAGAAATATTACCTATAAACACAGAAGGCAGTTTGGCAGTTGGTCAAGCTAATGAAATGGAAGCTTTCAAATGTAACCCTCCCACTGTCCTAATGGGTGTGACCCCGCAAGGAAAGTTGACTATTGAGCAGGGTTGATGGTTTATCCCTTGAGGTCCACTGCCACGTGGACCTCAAGGGATAAACCATCAACCCTGCTCAAAGGTCAACTTTCCTTGCGGGGTCACCCATAAAGACAGTGGGAGGGTTAAGAAACTTGTCAAACTCAAAGTATTTAGTGAGCAATTTCAGGTTATTTCCTTTTTAGAATAAAATCAATCATATGTTGTTCTTGGCTATTATTTTGAAAAAATCTTTCATGAAACATAATTTTCCTCACCACTTGGGTAGAGGGTAGAAATGCTTTGTAAATACATTTCTGGGGGTTGGGGGCGAGGACGTGTGTGGCTGGTCTTTGGCTGAGCAGTTGGGAGGGAGGAGGGCCCTTTTGGGGAGTGTTGTGACATGGTCATCAGTGCTGTCCATGACAGCTTTTCATTGTCTCACTACTCTTGTGGTTCTAACCATCAACATATATACTGGACAATTTATGTCCATAGGCTTGAATTGTAGAGTTTTGTTTCCAAATGGGAGGTTCTCTCCACTGCCATTTTGATAGTGTCACACATCCCGTCACGTCCAGACAATCCAAAAATGGGAAAAGAGGAGGGACTCAGGGTGGGGCTGTTACGGTTGGAACAAATGAACCAAGAAGCTAAGAAGGGGCTCCCGGGACTGGGATGTCCCACCCGCATGGCCGACTGGCTCCCGTGCGAGGCTGTAGTCATGCTGGTTGCCTGTGGAGATCTAATATGGCAACACATTCTCACACCTGAAGCTTCGAAAAATGACGTTGGGTGACCAATCATTTGTTTCCGACATGTTGGGAGTCTCCGTTTTACCATGGCAGTCGGAAAATGACGCTCTGGCATAGCGCGTCACCTCCTGACATGCTGGGGCTCCCGACGTGTCGAAAACAAATGTTCGGTCACCCAGCGTCATTTTTTGACGCTTCGGGTGTGAGAATGTGTTGAATATGGACTGAGACTGTTGAATTACAAGCAGAACCTTTGACCACTGTGATCGTAGTTGGGTGCCGTGGCCTTTTACATCAGCTCTTCCGCCATGGTCAGAGATCAGATTAGAGATTAGTTATACGCTAACCCAAAGCTAACCAAGGTTTTCCGGTGGTTTTTAGCAAGAAAAATGCAGTAGAGTAACTTCAAATTGAACGCACTTCCGGCCTGCTTAGTAACAAAATCATAATTAGGTAAGCTGACTGAGGATTTCAGGCTTCGCTGGTCCACCGCTGTCAAAGATCCTTGAGTCCGCCGCTGTGTCGACATCCCACGGAGCTGAGAGTCAAGTCGACAATGGCGAGCACGTGGATCAAAGCCCGATAGCCTCCACTATCCTTGTTCAGATATGTAGCTCCATTTTTTTTAACCAGCAGCCACACTAACACGTTATATTTCAACCCATTTTAGACCAAGCGGTGTTACGGTAAACTCACAGAATTTCCCTCCATTCAACCAGCAAACTGTTAGTGAGAAAAATGCGGTTGAGCGACTCAAAAGTGAAGCAGCTGCGGCATTTCTGTGGTCTCCCTCAGAGATCCACCAATGACCAGCATGATTACAGCCTCGCTGGCCCAGGCAACGGGAACAGCCAGCCGCCTGCTCTAGCAACCGTTCTCAGGCAGGAGACAAGAGAAGTTTTCTTCCACAACTATGGCAAGCCTCAAGGACAATAAACACCAATTACAGTACAACAGTCTCTTCACTTTCAGGTTTTTCTTCTATAGCTCTAGATTCCAACGTGTCACACACACCGTAAGCAGTCTGGTCATAGCCACGCATCAGGTCGAACAATGTGAGAACATGATTTGTGAAATGTGTGTAAATCATTGAATGTTTAGTCATGCAGTGTGAGCTGGAGGCCTACACAAAAACTGAAAATATCAGGCAGTTTCTGCTCTGCTTTCCCACGTCTCCTCTGGAAGAGCCTGACTAGTGTTTTCCCTCTAAGTCAGGGGTCTGAAATCGAGCATGTTTTAGTTGTTTCCTTGCTCTAACACACCTGATTTCAATCTGCAGGTGATTATCAGGCTGAACATGTGATTCGGTCATTGAATGAATTGGAGCAGGGACACAAGTAAAACATGTTGGATTGGGTGGCAGAGTTTGAGACTCGTGATCTAAGTAGTTCATTGTTGGGCTCTGTACTACTGGGATGCATCCTTGCATGTGAGTTGCTTTGGATAAAAGCATCAGCCAAATACACAAACATTATTTAAATGGATCTTCCTGTTGGCTGGAGCTGGAGTCCCCCTTTGTGGGTAGCTGCTGTATCCGTTCCTGTTCCTGGTTGGTACATGCCATGTTTTATGTGTTTGTTTTCACTTTTACTGCTGAATAAATCGCCCCCTCCATCAGTTATCTGTGCATCCCTGCGTTTGGGGCCAGAGGGGTCACACACACACACACACACACACACACACACACACGCACACACACACACGCACGCACGCACACACACACACACACACACGCACGTGCGCACACACGCAGACACACACACGTTTCTGTGGAGCAGCAGTGTTTTGTCTGATGCTGGGACAGGATGCCAGAGATCTTATTAAGGGGAAGTCTGATGTTTTAACCTACTTTTATCCAGTCTATTAAACTTTAGTCACATGTCGGTCTTCCTGCTTCCTATAAAGCTCCAGTCCCCCCCCCATTGTTTTGAGTTGCACTGTGCAGAAGTTTCATTGAAGAACATCAAAGCCCAGGAATGAGCCCCTTTGCTCTGTCTGTTTTAATCACTCATGCACACGAAGAGCAGGAAATGGCAGACATACCTCACGCTGCAGAGGAGATAAGAGCTAATATAAAAAACCTTTAACATAGTTGTGATTACTCCCTGATTCTCCTCCTCCATCTCACGGGAACATCGCTTTAAAAACATATATTTCAAAAAGGCCCTTGCTGAGATTTACTGCAGCTCTTTGTGTGATCTGGGGTCATTAAGACTCATTTCCTCACTTTCCCGATAAGCTGTTGCAATAGAAAGAGTTGAATCTTTGGATTTACTTCAGGCATGAAGCATGTGATGTTTTCTTTAGCCGCTGATTTTTTTCTCTTCACCCTCCTGTCAAAAAAACAAGTTGGACTTTATGTTTGCTCTGGAAAATAACAAAAAGAAGATATTGTGGCCCTTTGAGCTCAGAATAGTAAAAGCTGAGAGACTCCATCAGTCATTATTTATTTCACTAGATAATGGTGAACTCCCAGCAATGGAAACAGGATTTCTGAAGCCAACATTTGAGAAATAAACATCAAGAATAGCCTGACTAATTATGTGAGTACGTTACCATGTCTCTTGCTTTGTTCCTTGTTTGGATCTGTTCAATATCTGTTCAATGGAAAAAGAAGAGGAAGAAATGTCCCTGGGTTGGATAACCACAGGTTCTGGATTTCATCCATCCAGCCTCATAACAGAGGCTCAGCTCAGAAACACGTTCAAGATGTTTGTGTGAATTAGTGTGACAGGATCTCTATGGCATGACAGTAAGGGACGGACACAGCTTAGATCATACGAGCATGCTTAAAATATTAAGGAACAATCAGCAAGTGGCACAAAATGATGGCCTTCATCTCTGGTCTCTGAGAAACAAAAAACATATTTGTCCTGTGCTAAATCAGAGGTTCTTACTGTTTATGTTCTCTGAAAGAGATTGTTTTTGTTTCCTTCAGTCAACTGCAAACATCTGGATATTATGAAAGAACTAATGAAACATTTTCAAACAGCTGTAAATAATTTTCTTCTCATTTTGTATCACAAAACAATCACACAGAGTCAAAAAGCTCTGCTGTCACTTTAAGGAGATTGAGTTAGGATGCACCTTTCTGGTACCGAGGACTGAGACCCATTTCTGGAGTGGCTGGTGCTGATTGTAGGGTAGGCTAAGAGATATATAATAAAATGCAGCAGATTTTATTCTAACAACAGAGCATAATATAGATGTAAATGAATAAAACCTGCTTCAAAACAACATTAGGCCCCTTTCCAGCACAAAATAAAACGCCAAAGCCATGTGGTAAATGTCCTGTATTTGTATAGCGCCTACTTAGGGGTTCTACAACCCCCCAAAGCGCTTCACAACAGCTTCAGTCATTCACACACATTCACACGCTGGTGGGGATGAGCAACGATGTAGCCACAGCTGCCCTGGGGCGCGCTGACAGAGGCGAGGCTGCTGAACACTGGCGCCACTCCGACCACCACCAGTGGCGGGTTAGGTGTCTTGCCCAAGGACACAACAGAATTCTCTGGTCAGAGCAAGGATCGGATCTGCAATCTTCCGGTTACTGGACAACATGCTCTGCCTCCTGAGCTACTGCTGTTCGAAAAGAGCCTCTGTTACAGAATAGAATAGAATAGAATAGAATAATCCTTTAATAGTCCCACAAGGGGAAATTTGGTTGTGTCAGCAGCAACATCACACATATACAAACAATGCAGGACACAGAACAGAAGCACAGTTATTACATATTTACATCATGGACAATAGTTACCAGAGCAGAGTACAATACAGTTGTTTATATAAGCGCACACATAATGTGTAAGCATAGCAGGATACTGAAGATGTTAAAATAGTTTTAAAAGTTTAAGATGATTAAAAGAGTGCAGATTGTTTATTTTTTACCCGTTCATTAAAAAGTAGACATGTAGCCTTCAATAAATTATTGCATGTATAAGCTGAGAAAAAGTAATGTGTAAGTTATAATTGTAGAAGTTATTACAGCACTGATGCCGACAACTGTTTTTTTTGGGAGCAGTTCTGATTGTACAGTCTAACAGCTGCAGGGAGGAAGGACCTTCGGAAACGCTCCTTCATGCATCTAGGATGCAGCAGTCTGTCACTAAAGGAGCTCTGCAGTTCAGCAACATTTACATGCATGGGGTGGGAGACTCTGTCCATCAGAGATGTTATTTTGGCCAGAGACCTTCTGTCTCCCACCACCTGCACTGGGTCTAGGGTGCATCCTAGAACAGAGCTGGCCTTCCTGATGAGTTTATCCAACCTCTTCCTCTCAGCTGCCAATAAACTGCTGCTCCAACATACCACGCTGTAAAAAATGACAGATGCTACCACAGAGTCATAGAAGCTCTTTAAAAGCGCTCCCTGTACCCCAAATGACCTCAGCCGCCTCAGCAGGTAGAGTCTGCTCTGACCCTTCCTATAAAGAGCATCTGTGTTGTGGCTCCAGTCCAGTTTATTATTCAGGTGAACACCCAGGTACCTATAAGAGTCCACTATCTCAATGCCCACTCCCTGGATGTTCACCGGTGTCACTGTGGTGGGTCTGCGTCTCCTGAAATCCACCACCAACTCCTTGGTTTTCCCGGCGTTGATCAGCAGGTGGTTCTGCTGACACCAGTCCACAAAGTCCAGAGTCCCCCGTCTGTACTCTGAGTCATCCTCACCTGTGATGAGGCCAACTATGGCAGAGTCGTCAGAGAACTTCTGTAGGTGGCAGCGTGGGGAGCTGATGGAGAAGTCAGCAGTGTAGAGGGTGAAGAGGAACGGTGCCAGCACAGTTCCCTGTGGGGCCCCCGTACTGCAGACCAGCGTGTCAGAGACACAGCCCTGTGACCTCACATACTGTGGTCGTTCTGTGAGATAGTCCAGTATCCACTGAGACATGTGGTGGTCCACTCCCGATAACTCCAACTTATCTTTCAGAAGTCGTGGTTGGATGGTGTTGAAAGCACTGGAGAAATCAAAAAACATGATCCTCACAGTGCTTCCAGGCTTCTCCAGGTGAGTCAGAGCTCGGTGCAGAAGGTAGTTGATGGCGTCCTCCACCCCAATGCCAGGCTGGTAAGCAAACTGTAGTGGATCTAATGAAGACCTCACCAGGGGACGCAGATGGTTAAGAACCAACCTCTCGAGTGTCTTCATCAGATGCGATGTGAGGGCTACCGGCCTGTAGCTGCTGAGGTCCTTGGGATGGGAGGTCTTTGGTACCGGTACCACACAGGATGTCTTCCACAGCTGTGGTACTTTCCCAAGCGATAGGCTCAGGTTGAACAGGTAACCTAGTATGCCACACAGTTCATCTGCGCAGCACCTCAGGAGCCTGGAGCTGACGCCATCTGGGCCTGCAGCCTTATGCACCTTGATCTTGCGAAGCTCGTTCCTCACTTGAAATGCTGAGATGGAGAGAGTGGGTTTTGGGGGAGGGGTGTGTATAATGGAATCCACAGAAGCCGGGGGTGGGAGTAATGACTGGGAGCTGGGAGGTGTGAAGCTGAGAGGTGTGAATTCCTGAGGTGAAGGACAGGCAGTCCCTGAAGACAAAGGAGATTGCAGCAGGGGGGACGATGCTGTGGGAGGGGTGGGTGGTTGATCAAACCTATTAAAATATTTATTTAGGTCATTCACCCACCCCACGTCTCCCACAGCCTGGGGGGTTGGTTTTTGTCCTGAGATTGTCTTCAGGCTGTTCCAAACCCCTCTGATGTTGTCCTGCTGTAGCTGCTCTTCCATCTTCCTCCTGTAGTTTTCCTTTCCTTGCCTTATCTTCCATTTCAGCTTCTTCTGAACAACTCTCAGCTCCTGTTTGTCCCCCGATCTAAAGACTCTCTTCTTCTCCTTGAGGAGAGCCTTAATTTCAGGATTTATCCATGGCTTGTTGTTGGAAAAACACCGTATCTTTTTGATGGGTACGGTGTTGTCCACGCAGAAGTTCATGTAATCCGTAATGCAGTCTGTGATGCTGTTGAGGTCATCCTCCAGGGGGCTGCAGAGGTTGTCCCACACAGTCGAACGGAAACAGTCCCTCAGGGCCCCTTCAGTCCCTGCCGACCACCTCCTTACTGTGCGTTTCACTACTGGTTCTCTGCGTACTAGAGGTTTATACACAGGCTGGAGATGAACCAGATTATGATCTGAGCCCCCCAGGGGAGGGAGAGGTGATGAGCTGTATGCCTCCTTGGTGTTGGCATACAATAAGTCCAATGTTTTATTGTCTCTGGTGTGGCAGGTAACATACTGGGTGAAAGTGGGGAGAGTGGAGGACAGGGAAATGTGATTAAAGTCCCCAGAGATCAGGAAAAGGGCCTGAGGGTGCTGTGTTTGGAGTCTGCTGGTTACAGTGTGCAGGACCTCACAAGCTGCTTCAGTGCCAGCAGAGGGCGGGACATACACAGCTATCACAATAACATGTGTAAACTCTCGCGGTAGGTAGTACGGTCTCATGCTAACCGCTAGCAGCTCAATGTCCTTACAGCATAGCCTCTCTTTGATAGATAAATGCCCAGAGTTACACCATCTATCGTTCACAAACACAGCCAGACCCCCTCCTCTCTTCTTACCGCTCTCCGTTGTCCTGTCGGCCCGGATCAGATGAAAACCATCCATGTTTA